CATAAAAATCGCAACTCTTCATTAAAGTCGCAACTTTTCATAAAAGTCACAACTTTTCATAAATGTCACAATTTTTCATGAAAGGGGAAGGCTAGCTTTGGAAATAAATAAATTTAAAATGGAATCCTGACTTATGGTGGTGCCACGTAGGCGGGCCTAGGGTTCTCTTTTATATAAATATATGATATATGATGATATTAAATAGTAAACAAAAGGGCAATGTTTATATAGTAATAACTATTTTGAAGCAAACTTCCTGGGAGTCTAAATCACATAAGTAACATTGATAAATAAATGCATTCTTTGTCTTTAGAATTAAAAATAAATCGTGACAATTCTCTAAATTTTGAAAAGAGATATTCAGAAGCATGTATATACATCACAAGATAAATTGTTACCAAAATAAATGAATTTAGACTACATGATGTTAACTTCATTTATTTGAACATCACATACTAATGTGTATATATATTATGCAAAAAATAATTATTATATCATCAAAATTATATTATTTTTATCAAGTACTCAAGGTTATGAAATATACCCTCTTAGGATAGAACGACTTACCTCATCAGAATAGTGGTACCTCATATTCCGCTAAACTTCGAACTCACTCAACGACAATAAATTACGCAAAAAAATTTAAAATTCATGAAGAAGAAGAGTAGAAGATTTTAAAAAATTGTGGTTGGAAAATTAAAGGAAGTCCCTCTATTTATATTGAACAAAGGGTAGTATGAACAAATGTTTTTGTGTCTTATCTGAAAAATCATGACCTTTCTGAGAAGTCACAATACTTTGGAAAGTCACAACTCTTTAGAAAAGTTGCAACTCTTTGGAAAAGTCACAACTCTTTGGAAAGTCACAACTCATCGAAAAATCACAATCTTTTGAAAAAAGTCACAACTTATAGGAAAAGTCACAATCTAAGTTAGGGATATTATAGTAATTTAACATTTAAGTTAGGAGTTCATTCTTTTAAGGTAATATAGAATATAAATATAAATATAGATATAGATATATTTATAGATATAGATATAGATAGATACGATTTTGACTTGCTAGGCATATCATTGCACATGCTAAAATATTCAATGTAGAATTTAGTGTGTCTTTTTCCCACATCGGTGACAAAAGACGAATACAAACATTTATAAGAACTCAACAAACATTGTATATCGCTGAGTTTAGTAGCGTGAGCTTGTAACCCATGTGGGAGCAATAAGATGATTGGGACAAATCAAAACTTCAAGCCTTGTCGTAAATAGAAGGTTCGTTTGGGATTATGCAATACTGGTACAGTATGAAGTATTATTATTCCAACACTAATAATACTTTAACATAGCAGTGTGAGTAGATGAGGTAACTCGCCCGTCATTGGCTGGCTTAACGGAGCAGCTCTCTCGCATAATCACAAATCAATATCTCTAGGTATGTCAAGTTGTTATTAGTCTGGACCATTACCTTTTTATTTGTCAATTGTTTTTTTTAATGAGTAATTTTATAAAATTTGTACCAATAAGAATTTTTGGTTATTTTATTTTGTATTGGCACCCATGTTGATACTTTGATCCGTACCCTCGAATCTTAAAATTTAGATCACGAAGGATCCGACTTCTAGATCATTATCCTTATCGAATACTTGCAGCCCAGTGCGAGCAACTTGGGTACTAATTGGTTTTGTTGATTTTCCCTGTTTCTCACATCTAAATTGCTTTTACTAGTCATCATGTGAAATAACACTTAGGTGCTTTGTTAACTATTATGTACTTTTGATATTTTAGGAGGTGGAAAGCTGATGTTGAAGAGCAATTACTCCATCCTCTATCAACTGCACGAATCAAGATGATGCTTCCCTATTCTTCATGTTTGCTGAATTTAGTATTACCTATGTTGTCGCTATGATAAAAGTTGAAAAAAGCTTCTCCTTCCCTTGAATATCTGCTATATGTGGTATCTTGAGATTGTTGTAATAAAGGGTTGAGAAAGTTTCTCCTTCCTTTGAATATCGGTACAGTTTGGTTAATTTTGTGATATTTAAAAAAAAAGAGTATATAATAGTGGTCACTTGTAAAATTTATAATGTTATGATATGAGAAGTTATATTGGACTTTGGTGAAACTCTGTAATGAGAGTCGTCAAAAAAAATTTGGGCCGAAAAACTTTTTCATTGCAACTCGAAAATTCCTAGCCTAGTCCAGATTTGGATGAAATCGGAGTCATGAGAGGTCTAGGAGATATGGTAATTAATGAGATATCTAATTATGATTTTGATCACATGAGTAGATAACAAAGACGTTAAGGAACCCGTACAACTTCACGGAATCGAATTCGGGCGAGTAGAACTCCTGAAACTGATCTTAGTGTGAACGGGTAGTTTCTGAGTGTCATGGGTTGAAGGTGTGTTGTGAAATGGGGGTTGGAAACTCAACTTTTGACTCTCTGTTTTTGTGAAAGTTGTCAAGGAGGGATGATTCCCGCCAGGGCGGGACCTTTGCGTCGGGTTGGGTCCCGCTACGACGAGCTAGTCATGAATTAAGTCAGAATTAAATCCCAAAAATGTTATTTTCTGTAAGTTTCATTCTTGAGAGCTAGGAGTTGACCATAGGGAATTTCTTGACAGTTTTCCACTATTTTTTGTGCTAAAGGTAAGGATTTTGCTCCACTAATCCATTTTTTGATTTGTAGAACTTAGATTTATGGGTTATTATCAATGGGGAGGGTTTTGACCTGAAAACTAATAGTGGAAAAGCCCTAAGTTGGTATTGGGATCTTGGGTTTGGCCTAAGGTTGATAATTTCAATTGTAATCTCGGTAATTAGGTCTCATTTATTGATTCTTGCATTAATTTGTTGTTTGTAGACTTAGAATAAGCGGAAAGAATTCGGAAAGGGAAGAATCATGTTTCTTAGAAGGATTCAAGCTTGTTTTCGAGGTAGGTGATGGTTTGATTTCATGTTTGTGTGATGTATGTTAGTATTTGCTTCATTGTAATGCATGTATGTATGCGAATGTTGCACTATTGATCACATTAAATGTGAATGAATATGAACGAATGATTGTATGCCATGAATCAACACTTTATTATATGACTATGAGAATGTACATTGTGATTGTGATTGTGGCTTGTTGAACTGATCGGATGTTACGTCCCAACACACTAACTGAGATCAGATGTCACGTACTCTGATGTTGTTGCATTCCTAGTATGTTTCGCAAAAGGGCCAAACAAGGCTTTCAATGTAGAGTCGTGCCTCTTCAAGGTGATCATAGTTTGACTTTCTTGGAAATCTCTTTGAGTCATCATGTTGATTGTAAATCATGAAGAATGATGTGTTCTCAAACAAAAATTCACCTTCACTTGACATGCAAAAGGACGGACCAAATAAATAATACACCCTGTTGCTAATGTGAAACATCTTTGTCAAAGATTCCTTAACTCCGTACTCTTTCATAACCCATACGTCCACCTGACTCATGGTAGATTGACAAATCATAGAAATTTCATTTCCTAATGCACCAAGGTACGGAATAGAATAAAACGTTCCTTCTCCGTAATGGGTTCTCTATTTCATTCCATCTCCCATCAACCAAGTCAACAACAAGGATGACCCAATCATAATAATTAATAGAAATCTTATTAGTAATATCCCAATGAAGCTTCCCATTCACAAGCATACCTAATTTATAACTTTGAATCGCACTTCGTATGTCATCAAAACGTTTCAAAGATTTACTATTTAGACTACATATTTTGCCCACATTATAGCCTGAATTGTCATCACCCACAATTCTTGTGATTGCCACGACCTTATAATCATCATGAAGCTCATCGTATCCAGAATCATACATGTAAAAGGAATCGGTTCCAGAACTAGGCTATTTCTTGAGCTTCCTAATTGACGGATTCCAGAGAAACACATCTTTTTCCTCAATGGAAACACATATCAACCCATTGACAGAACTAAGAAATATAATAGATTCATAGGATATTTTTGGAAGACAATCCACGTCAATTGCCTTAGTAACATGGACATAAAATAAAGAATTAACAGAACACTCCTTAAGATTGTTTTCAGGTGAATCAAACGTCAGCATAAGCCTATGGAAGGTCTTGTCATAAGTAGATCTACGAAGATAGATCTTGACAAATTCAGGGCTACAGAATAAACCAAGCCAGAATTTTGTAACACACTTGAATTTTAAGGGGTGTTTCACCTGAACCCTTAGGAGAATTTCAGTGATGTCGATTTTAGATAACTCTATGGCATCTTATATACAAGCAGTTCTTCATGTATCCCTTTTTACCTTCTCCAGCTTATCAACCCAATCAACCCATCCATTAGTTACACTTGGCCATGACTACCATCTTTTTCTTTTGTGCCAACCAGGTTGTAGAGAATATAATGGAGTTTCTATTATTTTGCTAATGGATAAAATGTCTCAAGCCTTAAAGGAAATGCTTCCTTGAAGCACGCACCTATAATGCATTAACTAAATTACTACTAAATATTCTTGTGAAATTAAATATTGTCACTAAAATAAAAATCTATTATCACTAAGGGTTTGTTTGAAAGTCATTCATGTAATTGAATTTGGTGTAATTGGGTGCAATTGCAATGTCTGACTTGCTTGGTTGGTCATGCAATTACTTTGTCAGCATGTAATTGGTATAATTGGCAGGGGTAATTATACATGTAATTCACATGGGTAATTACACATAATTGGAAGGAGTAAATATTCTCTCCAATTCTTAGGGGTAGCTGGGAGTTGTTGGTAATCACTAAGGAGAAAGAGAAGAACAGGACACATATTAACTTGTTTGTATTGATTACTGTGTTGGCCTTTATATAGCCATTGTATTACATTCAAGGCTCGAAATAAAATAACCACTTATAGAAACATATGTAATTACACTTCTAAAGATAAAAAGGGCTGATAAATGAAAAAAAGAGTCCTAAAAGTAAGAAGAGTCCTACAGGTAAAAAGAGTCTTAGATTCTAGCCGTTATTAGGCCCCCGCAAGTTGGCGTCCAGGTTTACTACGCCAAATTTGGAGAAATAGTTACCAAAAATTTCACGCGGAAGATGCTTTGTAAGAAGATCAACAACGTGATCAGCAACATGTAAATGGGCAACTTCCAGTTGTTTGTGCTCAACCTGCTCACAGACAAAATGGATGTCAATGGCCACAAGCTTCATGCGGCTATGGAAAACAAGATTCGCACAAATATAAGTAGTATTGATATTGTCACAGAGAACACTTGGAACAGAAGTTATAGGAAGCTGAAGCTGTTGAATAAGATGGGTGAGCTAGTTAGTTTTAGAAACAACAACAACAACTGCCCGAAATTATGCCTCTGTAGAAGAATGAGAAATTGAACGCTGCTTCTTTGAAGGCCATAAAATAGAGGAACTACCAAGATAGATAACCTAACTAGTGGTCGATGTGTGATCATGAGGATCCCCTGCCCAGTCTGAGTTAGAGTACGCGAGAAACCTACGATCAGTTGCATTGGCAATGAGCACACCAAAAGAGGAAGTTGAATGAAAATAGCAGAGAAGTAGTTTAAGAGCAACCCAATGAAACATAAATGGTTGATGCATAGCCTGTGACAACTTGCTGACAGGAAAAGCTATGTTCGGACGAGTGAAAGAAAGGTAATGAAGTTTACCAATAATGCATCAATATAAGGAACTATGAACTATATGATCATCAGGCGATGGATAAAAAACTATAGTAGATGCCATAAGTGTGGAAACACCGCTGCAGTTATCCATAGCTACCTGATGTAAAAATTCCATAGTGTACTTTTCTTGAGAGAGCAGAAGACTAACAGAAGAACGAATGACCTCAATACCAAGAAAGTAATAAAGAGGTCCTAAGTCCTTTAGTAAAAAATGTTGAGAAAAAGCCTCAATGATATAATGAACATCTTGTTGGTGATTACCAGTCACTAAGATATCATCCACATAAACTGAAATATACACAGTGAACCTAGCTTTATGCATAATGAAGAGTGAGGAATCAGAATGCGACTTAACAAAACCCAAAGTAAGGAGATAATTTTTTAGTTCTGTAAAACAAGCATGAGTGATGAGTCCTGGATTTGGACTCATTTAGGGCTTTGTTTGTATAGATTTAGTGTCCTCAAATGCTTATTTTGTGCCAATAACTAATGTTAAATCCATGATTTTCAGGAATATGAATTGAGGAACAAAGCAAGGACACTAAAAGGCAGAAAGGAACAAAACAGGCTAAAGAAGTGAAGAAGGGTGAGCCTGAGGATCGCCAAGAGCACTCGGCGTGTCGCCTAGTGGCTCAGATGTCCTCCTAAAGTTCCATTGTGCCAAGCTCTGAAGGAAAGAACTAAGTCGGCGATGAAAAGGAGAAGTTGGCGAATCCCCGAGTGAATCCGCGATGCCAAGATGGATCGCCCAAAGTTACAGACCTTAAGGATGTTGAATGTCAAGGTGAAAGGGTGGTGTAAGAGACCAAATGGCGGCTATCTGAGTGGATCAGCGAGCCCGACTTACTTTGCCGAAGCAACTTTCGTAGCTTATTTTCGGCAACTATAAATATATTTTTTCAATCTGTCTTGATGGGATTTTTCTTGTAGGTAGCGAAAAGACTAGTAGTATCGACAAGAGGCTACATCAATAGCTGAAAATTTTGGATAGGGCAGGCTTGGAGTCAGAAGTCCTATTCTTCCCAACCAAATAAGCACTTTTGCAAAGTTCACCTTCCCACGGTCAAAACAAGACTTACGGTTAACAATCAGACCTTACCAGGGATAGGTACCAGACTATAGAGCCTAATAAAAAGAATTCGGGCTTGCTTTTCAATTCACATCTATGAGCAAGGATTCCTCTATCTCTTTTTCACTTCGATCGGACTCTGACAACTTAGTGAAGAATGATGGGTCGCTAATAAGGCCCCTAAATGACCGCTCAGAAGGCCTACCTATTTTTTTCCCAATCTGTCACTTGCTCGTCCCTCTCTCATGAAAATGGTCTCTCCTCTCCTCTCGCTGTCAGGTTTGGTTCTTGTTCCAGGTTGTCTCATCAAGAAGAAAACCTTTAGGCTTTTTATCTAGGAACTTGTTCAAAAATACCATAATGAAAGGAAGATAGGAGTTTGTCGCTAGGTATTTGACCAAATAGGATCGTTTAAAGTAGATTTCAGACTTCAATAAATTCCCTCAATGAAAGCGGGGATTTCTGCCTAGCAGTAGGTGTCAGGTGAAGGGACAGAGACGTCCTGTTTCTACATTTAGTTTAGTATCAAATAATCTTTAGAACAATTTATTATTAAGTTTTGAGCATCTGGAGACAGTTTTTCTCTAGTTTTCCTTAGCTTTGAGGGATTGAAGAAATTCACTTTTGAAAGATTGGAAGTGGTTTTTGAAGTTCATCAAATTGAAGCATTGTAAAGACGAAATCACTCTTACCCAGTTGATGGACAAACAATTTGATAACGGTTTTTACCTTTTTATAATGTCTAGCTAAAACCCTAATTCTTGAGGTGTGATTATGTGATTATGGGTTGATTTAGCTTATGGGTATTGCTAATTGTTAGTTCAAATGTTATTTAAAAGTGATTTCAATCAGTAATTTTGGTTCAACTTAAGAATTGTAGTTGCAAATGCAGTTCAATGTTTGTGTTCTTGGCTTGCTCGAGAGAGAGGTTTTAAAACTAATGTTTTTGATTGATGTTTTGTGGGTATTGGGTTGACCTGGGTTCAACTCGAGAGAGTAAATCCTAAACCCTATCCCAACCATTTAGCTCGAGAGAGTGAATGGATTAAGGTGTGGGTTGCTTTTAATGTGCATGTTTGTTCGAGAGAAATCACTTGATTCAGGGTAATTGTTTACTAATAGTTACTAATATCTAGCTATTTACTAATAGTTGAAATTACCCATATGTCTATATTAGCCTATAATCAATCACATCCCAAGAACCCGTCTCATTATTGTTATTTTGTATTGTTTGTGACTGTTTGTAGTTCTTAATCAAAACCAAAACCCCCATTTGACATTCGTGTCACCCCTTGATTTGAATGATGACTTTATACGATAATTTTTATTCCTATGACTGATTTGACAACATTTATACTTCCTAATTGAATCTAAAACATGTAGCGCTCCCTGTGGGATTTGACCCCAACTCATTTAGTTGGGTTTTATACTGATTTACGATTGTTGAACACCTAGAATTGGATGAGGTGTTCTTGAAACGTTAAATCAACGAGGAGCCTATTTAAGACCATAAATTGCCTTCTGAAGATAACAAACATGGGTAGGACTCCCAGAGTTTCCGAATCCCGGTGGCTGTCGCATATAAACTACTTCAGTAGGAAGACCCTGCAAGAAGGCATTGTTAACATCCAACTGATCGGCATGCCAGTAGAGTTGAGTGGCGATAGTTAGGACAAGACGCACAATAGCAGGCTTGACTACTGGACTAAAAGTGGAATGATAATTAAGTCCAGGGTGCTTTGTAAATGCCTTGGCAACCAAATGAGTCTTGTACCTATCAACAGAACCGTCAGGTTTATGTTTAACTATAATACCCCGGAAACTAGTAGACCTAACTAGTAGCCACAAGCTCGGGTTCTAGAGTTTGATGTATGAGGAATAGTGTCGTAGATGAGACTTTCCGTACTTAGAATGAGAGGTTTAGTGGTTGAACGTCAAGGTACGTGTTAGACCCCGTAGTTTAGAAGACCACCTAAGGTTTGGGTGAGGAAGGCAAGGGCAAGTGCCATGTCAAGGGGGCAAAGCCTAAGACAAAGGCCAAGGCTGCCCAACCTTGGCCATGCACTGCCTAGGGTTCACGACCAGTGGTCTTGACCACGATCCGTGAAGGTGTCCGTGAAGTCCCCTTAGTCTCGTGGGAAGTCAAGCCTTGAATCAAGGCTATTGCCCCAAGACCACGACCATCACCACGACTCATGGTCTCTACCACAGATCGTGGGAGGTCTCGTGGTCCTGCCTTAGCATCATGGAGGCATGACAAGTTGGGAAGGCTACTGGTAAAGGGACAACGGGCACCACCACAGACCGTGGTTCACTTGACGAGCCATTAAAGTGGCCATAGTCCCTGGCAAGGGGCTGCCAAGTGAAGGTTAAATTAGTATTTTCCTTTTTAATTAGTTTTAAGTTGGGGTCGTTTTATAATAGTATTATTCACCTATATAAGTATTTTAGGTCATTAGCCTCCCATTTTAAGTCAATTTTCACAAGACCCAAATAAACCTCCAAAATTAGTCTTCTCTCAATATTTCTCTCTCTAGATAACCGAAGAAGAAGAATAATAAGATAGAGCTTGAAGGTTGGACCAAGAACAACCTCCATTGTTGAAACCTTATGTTAGGGCTTTGATTAAAGGTATGTTTCTATTTTCATCTATGGGTTCTTCCACCCATAGAGACCCGCCTTAGTAATCCCTCAATTGTGGATCAAAAACCCAAATCTAGCTAGGGTTCTTCTTACATTCTGCGTAGGGTTTGGGTATGATTCCAATCTAGTGGATAATACCTAATTATGGTTGATTTAGATTTGTTTAGTGATATTATGATGAATTTATGTGATTTCAATGGTAAACCCTAGTCTAAATTCATGAATGTGATTTATGTGGGTTTATGCCATTAGAGGTGAAATTGAAGGTTCATGAGTGATCTTCCTAAATCCATGTCATGTATTGTAATTGTTCAAAGTTAGGAACATATAATCATAAATTGAACTAGACCTTAACTAATATGATTGATCTTGACATGTAAAGTTGAATTTGAACCTTTATGATCAATTGTGACTAGAATCACCTAGTAATGCAAGATGTGATCAAAATACCTTCAAATCTAGGCATAAATAAGAGATTAAGAAAGAAACCTTGAGAGTAAAGTTTGTGATCATGATAGCTAGGGCTTTAGGGTGAAGCTAATGTGATTAACTATTGATATAAAGGTTTTTAGAGTAAAGTCTAAAAGAGAATAGAAGTATAATAGGTTGTATTGTGGTGAAAGGCCTATACTCACCTAACCTACCCTATAAGTGCTTGATAGATGAAAGTGATAAAATCAATTGAGCATGGATTGATTGTCAAGGACATCCTTCCATAAGAGATAAGTGTTAAGCAAGGCATAACAAGTAAATCTAGGGGTGTATGCTTGGCTCCAAGTGGATATTGAAAATGAGACGGAGTTTCACACAAGAAAGGGTCCGGGCTCCAGGTAGAAAGAAGAACCACACCTAGTTGATGTGAGGACTATCCAAGTTAACGGGGGAACTCTTACGTAGTAGAGTGTGGGTTTTCCCAAATTTAGGTCTCATGAGATGGGAGCCTTCACGTAGTTGAGTTAAGGTTTTTAGTAGAAATCTCCATATCCCATGAATTAAGACATCCTTGACAAGCATCTCATAGTGTTCAAAAGCATAACGAACTAAGACTTACTTAATAAAGTAACTCATAATGTTCAAGAGTGTAAATGGACATAGGCATGCTTAAGGTAGTATCTCATAGGGTCTATGTGAAAAAGGAACTTAGACATACTAAAGAGAGAGTATCTCCTAGTGTTCTTAGTATAATTGCATTTAGACATGCTTAACTAAGCATCTCATAGTATCCATTCTAATATTGAACTTTGACATACTAAAGGAAGTATCTCATAGGGTTCAATCTAATAATGAACTAAGATGTGCTTAAGAGAGTACCTCATAATGTTCTAAACTTAAAGAGAGGAACTAGGTTCCAAATCAAGAAGTATTAGTATGAGTACCTAAAAGTAGTACTTAGCATGAGTAGTATTATGGGATGCTATTCATGCATTGCACAAGTATGACTTAGGGTTACTAAAGAAGAGTTTTGAGATATGATTGTGCTATAGTTGCCTTCATTGCTATAAGTGACTCAAGGTGAGAGATTCCCTTGGTTATGAAAGTTAAGCTAGTAATGAGGCCAAAGGAGAGTGAATATGACTAGGTTGACTTCAAGGTTAAGCTTAGTGTGAAGGGTATTATGGGATGTCTTTCATGCATTACACAAGTGTGCCTTGAGGTTACTTAGGAGTATGGTGCCCTTATGGAAAGGACGTTATGAGTTGACCATGTATATAGACTATGGTCAAGATGACTAAAAAGGGCTACTTGGCTTGGGTGGTATTATGGGATGCTATTCATTCGTTGCACATGTATGCTTTTGAGGTTACTTGAGAATGGTGCTATTACGGTATAGATGACTAAGAGTCATCTATGTTTATGTGATTATGACGTATCTCATATGCTCATTAACTATGTCTTATGTTAACTTATGATTATATGATGCTTATGTTGGAGATTATGCTATGACTATGTTATTATCTCTTGTGATTATGTCTTATGTTGACTAGCCTTGTTGCGATGCTCTTATGTTATGTTAGCTTTAATACTTGGTACATTTTGTACTAACGCATATTTCCTACATTCTAATCAAATGTAGGATTTTGGAGATTGAGTCCTTTGGAGGCTAGGTTTCTAAGAAGAAAGAAAAGTTGAAGACTTGGTGAGTCCTCATAGTTTCAAGCACGACATCCCTTATTTCCCTTTATGTCATTTCTTTATATTTTAGACTCTGTATGGGCTGCATCCCAAGGCTTTTATTCAAGAGTTTTATAGATGGTTTGAGACAAAGGTGTAGTAAAGACTTCCGCTTTCTTTATAAAAATGTTTTCGATTGTATGTTTTAAAAGAAGTTTTAAATTTTCTATACTTTTCTATTATCTTATGTAATGATTAGGCTAAGGGCTTTTATGAGACCCCTTCTGGGTCAAGTACGCCATGTTACACCTAGGGTATACCCTTGGGTCGTGACAAACTTAGTAATTATAGCACAAGGTTTAGAATGGTTCTAGGATTGTCTCAAACCACGTCTAGTATAGTCTTGTTCATAAATGTGAAGCGCGCCACATTTATGAATAGGAGGCTTATGGATGTTTAGGAAACCCCACTTCCTCATTCTCTTAGTCGTGCCATAGAGTTTGGCTTTAGTAGCCCCTTCTTCTAATCCGTGTTCGTTGTTTTTCAGGGTATGGCGAATACAAGGTCTAATGCTAGGAGATTTGAGGAAGGTGATGAGGAGCAATAGGTTCCTCTCCAAGTTCCACCACAAGCTCTTCCTCAGGTTCCTATTGATGCGAGGGCTATGAAAAATGTGGAAAGAAGGTTGAATTTCCAAATATTAACTCAAGCCTTGACGACCCAAGCGAATAAGGAAGCATTTTCTTGGGCTAATCCAAATGTGAATTCAGTTGCTTTGTGGGTGAGAAAGTTTTTTAGGATGAACCCTCCAGAGTTTTATGGATCCAAGGTGGAGGAAGATCCTCAAGGTTTCATAGATGAGGTGCATAAGGTGCTTGCTATCATGAGATTTACTACGGTAGAGAAAGTGGAGCCAGCCGCTTATTAATTGAGGGATATAGCACAAATTTGGTATGAACAATGGAAAGATAATAGGCCAGTAGAAGTGGGCCCAATAGAGTAGGAAGGGTTCAAGGAAGCATTCTTTGATAGGTTCTTTGCCCTACAGTTGAGGGAATGAAAGATGCAAGAATTCATTAGCCTTTGTGAAGGAGGTATGAGTGTGAAGGAATAACTCTTAGGTTCACCCAACTATCCAAGTATGCTCCAACTCTAGTGGCGGACTAAAGGGCTAGAATGACTAAGTTTGTGATGAGAGTGTCCGACTTGGTAGATAATGAGTGTCGTTCGGCAATGCTTATCCCTAGTATAAATATTTCAAGTCTTATGGTTCATGCCGAACAAATTGAGGAGAAAAAGCTCAAGAAAATGAATAAGGGTGTAAAGAGGGCTAGAACCAATGATGTGAACTTTTCTAATGCTAAGTCTGATGGAGAATATAGGCCTAGGACTAAACAAAAGTATTCCGATTAAGATTCTTCCAACACCCCTATGTTTGACCAAGAGAAGGGTAGTGGCTATCCATTTCCCAAATCTACTTGACCCAAGTGTTGGAGGAGTCATTATGGTAAGTCCGTAGCAGGCATGGATGGTTTCTATGGGTGTGGTAAAGATGTACACAAAATAAGAGATTGTCCAGTTCTTAAGGCTAAGGGAAGAGAGGATAAGAAAGTTGCCTCTAGTGGTTCGGATGATGGTGCTCAAAAGAAGAATAGATTTTATGCGGTCCAATCTACAGAAGATCAAGAGTGATCTCCTCATGTCTCTTCCGGTATGTGTTTTATGCTTTAGTAAAATTCCAGATTTTCTTGTCTTTTGTGACTTGTTATGTTGGACTTTGAAGTTGTCCTTAGCATGAATGATGTTTGGAAGAGTTTGTGTAGGTTTGCTTACTCCCAAGGGGGAGATAGTGTGCCTATTTAGCTATTGTGTATTTATATGTTGCCATGATTTCCTAATATGCATGTTCATGAAAATGCTTAGATCTTGTTAGAAATGACTTATATGCATTGTTTTCCTCATGTTGTAGTGCATTGAGTATAGTTGCATGTAGACTTCATGAGATGAATTATGAGCACG